ATGCCATGAAACAAATTCAAGACGTTTTCCCATGAACAGATAGTCCTTGGCTCATGACCACAATTGAGCCCAATATTTCTGTCGTTAAGTAAATTTTGTCCTGTTTTACAACCTTTCTTGCCTCCGTTGTTAAATGAGTCACTGTGGTTGATAAGTTAGTAGTAGCCCGGTTGTTAAGTGAATCTGGTTTCCCCATTGACTTTGCTTGCCAGGTCACAACAGGTGACCTTGGGACACAGCAAGTCATAAACATGAACCAGCTGCTAAGCATCTGAATTTTGGTCACATGATCATGGGGATGGTGCAAAGGTCGTAAGTGTAAAAAATGGTCATAAGTCACCTTTTTCAGAGCCACTGTAACTTCAAATGTCGTAAGTCGAAGACTTCCTGCAATGAAATCTTACAACCCACATACACTGCAGGGGATGTATCCCAAATAGGGCTCAGTACAAAAGTCATGGGATACCTCCTGTCTTTGCCTGAGCAGCTAATTCACCCTTTAACTTCATATAAATCTTTATTTATTAAATTTATATGCTGCCCATCTCACCAAGTCAGGTGACTCTAAAATCTTTCTGAAGATAACTAAATGGCTGTCCTAAATGATTTGGGATTTTTTTTTAAATGCAAAGTAGTATGTAACCTGTGGATCATCCAAAATCCACCTATAGTTGGCAGACATTTAGCACCTTCTACAGAGGATGTTTTGTCGTTTTTGCTTCATCACTTTCAAATATATAAATATGGGAAAGGAAGAATGAGAATGGGGAAATTATCAGCTTCTAAAAACTAATCATCATCATGATATGAAAAGTGAATAAAGGAACCACCTTATCTCTGAGTTCTTTGCTTATTTCTCCTATGTAATTATGAACTACATGAAACTTAGGTTGACATCTCAGTGACAGCAAACCTAGAATGCCCCCAAGAATAATGAACTCCGTTGCTGGCACACTCCATTAAGGTAACAATTCTAGCAAAAAGCATTAACAAAATAACCCTACAAAAGCAGATTCAACGTAGACACATCAACTGGGGGGGGGGGCGGTGGTGGTAAGAAATCGCATTATTGCTTTTCATCCTTTCATGTTAATGATATTCAAGAGAAATGGTGCAAAATAATGAAGAGAGATGTGAGATTTAAAGAGAGACTAGTCACTGATAAGCAAGCAGAAAGAGGCAATTACTGGGTTGCTGGTCTTCTCATTTGCAGTTTAATGTGTAATAATGTGAAGTCTTAAATAATCAAACTCTTTAAAGCAGGGGTGTCCAAAGTTGAGAACTTTAAGACTTGTGGACTTCAAGTCCCAGAATTCCCCAGCCAGCCATGCTGGCTGGGGAATTCTGGGAATTGAAGTCCACAAGTCTTAAAGTTCCCAACTTTGGACACCCCTGCTTTAAAGCTTCACTATGAGTTCACTATGAGTTACTCTACGGTTCTACAGAAACCCTTTATTATCTCGTTGTGCAAAGTTATTGCCGCAACTGTTTTGCAGTTGCTTGCTAATCACATCTCTTAATATCCAATTATGTCAATCAGATCAGGGCTCCGTAAGAGCGCCTGGTTTTATCTGGCTACCGGTTGACTAGGTGACATAACACCTAACCTTTAAGCAGAAGGAAAAAATGTAATTACGATAACCTGCAAAACCCTCGCTGGCCTTTTCCGAAACGCAACATTCCACAGAGTTCGTATCAGTCCCTGAGCTCAAAGAAATCCAAACAACCTCTTTGTGACAAGAGTAGCACCACAAAATACAAGCCAGTGTTTGAATGTCATTCATGCATTTGCAGCTCGAGATAAAAGGGCCCAAGCCGTTTTAAAGAACAACCCAAACAATACAGTGGTTTTTCTCACATACACAGAAAAAGGAACAACCATGTGTTCATTTTCAGGGGGGGAGAAAAAAATGTTAAAACCAGAACAGCCATCAGATTACAATATAAGGGTGTGCTCTTAACAAAGTTATGCTCCCCTTAGACTCTGACAATACTCCTCCAAGTTCACCAGGCCAAAAACCTGATTGCAATTGAAACTAACCTTGGCAAGAGAAAAGACTGCCCCCTGCTGCTGTCTAACTCTAACAACAGCAGCAAGTGCCACACCCTGAATGCCCCAAACTAAAAGGATTCCACGGCAGAATTTCACACTATGGAAAACAAGTGGTTTGCCACAAATCTCAAAGTTAGGTGACCATCTATTGCCTAAAGCTTCAAAGGCTTTGAGGATTGATACTAAGTTTAAACCAGTGCTCCCTGCCCTCTTATCAGTAGTTTAGAAACTGCCATTATTCCCTGAATCCTTCTCAATTTCTTTGCTTGTAGCAGGTCCGATTTCTACATCTCCTCCTTTCCTTCCTTCCTGCCACATATTTTGCAAAGTACTGTATAAGAGTTGACGGTTACTGAATATTTTCACAAACTGTCTTTGCTGAGGAATTTATGAGAAAGTCTAATAAGCATTTGGCTAAAAGACAAATTGCATTTAGACCCACACTGCCAAAATCAGAGTATCCTGGCTCCAGATGTAACAGAACTTTTTGTAGCAACCTGATAGCTTCCCGACTGCAGCTTCCATAATCCCCATCCGGTGTGAGTAAACATTTCCACAGATGCAGATCCAGGAGCCTGGCTGGAGGTGGCTGGTCTAAAACTTTAGAAGCACAATGGAGCTTCCATTCTCTTCCATTTTTGACACATTCAAATACAATATCCAACTATACAGCAAGTGCAGTTGGTTGTAATGGCCTATTTGCAAAAATGCTCCCAGGCTCAACCTTAAGGTGCAGGTGATTCTTCTAAACACACCAACAGCAAATGCTGTGCAGAAGAAATCACCATTCCTTACGGTAGGGCATATTCCCATGTAGGCATGCAGCATTGTGGTTTTAAAAAAGATTAATCAATCTTTTCATAACTGTTTCTGGAAAAGTATCTGTTTGGTTGACCAATGCCATGTTCCTTGCAAACTAAATCACTGATAGTTCGATAACTTTTGTGTGTGTCTGAGCAAAACAACATGGGTCAAAGGTCTGCCAGCAAAAAGATGAGAGACAAGAAATTTTCAAAGTGACTTCACTTTGAATATCATGGTAAATTCTTCCAACTATTATTCCCAGAATTGCTGAGATGCCTGATCTTAGTTTTTAAGTAAGGTTTTAAAAAGACTAAAATGCCAACATTCCAGTGCAATATATTCTCCCTGACAACCTTCTTCAGTTGGATATTCTCCATGTAGAGGTTGAACTCCTGCCATTCACAGGCTGTGTGATCTGCAGCTGTACTCTAACACATCTGGGTTGATAAGGTAGTTCTTTGAAGTTTAATAAAAACATGGTGTTATCTCATTTCTCCTTTAAAGCAAAATGCTGTTGTGCATAACTGCAGCTGCTTGATAAAAAAAAATCCTGGGAAATCTTGAAACCAAAGATGTCAAATCTGGCAACTAAGAATCCCCCCCACTGTCTTCATTTAAACGTTTTCAGTGTAGTCATGCTGGAAACCTTTAGTCGACTTCACTCGTTAGTGATGTCACTTCCATTGTTTCTGTCCACAGAATTACCACCTTCATCCCACACCCCCACATATATTCATTTTCCAAATGTTAGCAACGTAAGCAAGGATTCCCTTCCCAGCAGTCCAGCTAATGGAATGATGCCAGTTCATCTCCTCCTCCTCAAACCATCAACACATTCAGCTTCTTGAAAGGACCCTTAGTATGTACTCATAAAAGAAGAGAGGGAGGGGAGAGAGAGAGAGAGAGAGAGAGCACTTACCTTCACCTTGTTGCCTGTCTCCATCCCCCTGGGCAGGAGCAGCCTGCAACACCTGCAAAACCAACAGAGAACTAATCAGAACACAAATCCGGTGCCCTCACCCGACAAACCCTGAAGCTCTTTTTCGATCAGGTTTGCAGGTTTCAGTAATAAAGATCAGAACCTGTTGCACTTTGCAGAATACAAAAGCAAACCAAAAATGGCACATGGCAATTATATTCTAACACCCAAATCCAAAAAGAAAATGCACCTGAATTGTGAACCAAAACATTTGTTGGAAATATGGAACTTAATGGAGACTTTCTGCTTCTGTTTCTGTAGTGGTGGTCTACAAAATATACTGTACATGGGCAGATTCCATGTCCATCTGCTTTTAAAAGGGTTGCATACCATGCCAGCATTCCCACTTTGATTCCATACACTTGGAGTGCCAAGTTGGCAAACTACAGCTTACCTGTTGTCTAAAAGATGAAATAATCATTGACTTTTGAAATTGCATTTTAGCTGGCTTACTACACTTAAGTTACTTTTATGATTCAGTGCTAATGGAGCTATTTTAGAGGGGGAAATACTACAGAAAGGTATCACGGACCTTTCAGGGCCTAAAAGGGAGATAAAAATATAGAGAGACATTGGGGAAATACAGGTTTTGCCCTAGCAAAACACTGAGTTGTCATTTTCTAAATACGTAAGAAAAGTAGATTTAAGCTATTATCATACTCTAGACAAGGAAGATTCCTTGGGGTACAAATGTGAGAAACCAAGAACTCTATTCAGTAAGAAGCTACGCAGCTATATATCTGCTTTCTGTACTTGGGACAAAAAGAACTCAAAAAAGTTTTCTCAGATGGCACTCCGGATTTCCTAGGCAGCAGAATTATCTGCTTTAAGGCATTTATTATTATTAAGATCAAAATCTACAACACTGACATTCAGATTCCTTGTCGTGTCATTTTTAGAAGGTCACCAACATTGTTTTCTCTTTTACCAGTCTCCTCCCCTGTTCAGGTTTGTGTTGTAGATTTCAGATCTCTGGGGTACTTAGCCAAGGTCATTAGCCCAGTTTCAGCAGAGGGGAAGAACCAGCAAGCCCTCCCGTTTTGCAAATTATGGGAGTCGGAATCAGCCAGTGGGTTTCAAGAGCAATGCAACTGGATCACTAGGCTGTCAGCAAAAAGTAACAGAGGCTAAGAATGCAATGCTGCATGTCTAATTGTTGCACTGTCTACACAGGTCCCTTCTAAACTGATACCCTCTACCTGACTACATTTCCAAGAACTCCCAGCCCACATGGCCAATGACTAGGAACTCCTGGAATTGGGGGAGGATTGTTCTACGGGATGGCCCAACAGATAGAAGGGTGTCTGGCAGCACACAGGTGACCATGTTCCTTTTTAAGCTGACAAGGTTTTTCTATCTCTGGGTGAAGGTCACAGCAACTTTACAAACAAGGTGGGGGAAGACGAAGCTTAATCACCAAGGCCTTCATGGGCCAGCAAGCTGCTACAATCCGTTCCGAGCACAGCCTCCGTTGCGTCTGAAGACGCTTCAGACAGGCAGCTCTCCTCTGGTGAGGTGGCAAGTTGCCACATCTCCTTGTCAAGGCAGGTGTCCGCCCATTTCTCTAGCATCGCGTCGAGCACGTAGTCTTTATGAGCCAGCAGGCCGTGGCAGGCTGTCCTGGGATTCCTCCATCTGCAGGATGGGACTGTGGCAAACATGCTGCCCGCAAGTGCCCTGACTGAGCAGCCAAGCATGCAGCCCTGCCATAACGTGGTCAGGGCTTTGAGGAAGGAGACATCTCTGGCGTTAATTCTTCAAAGCCCTGCTTGACCCAGCTGCAACATCAGCTAGAAACTTGTTCCATACTTCTGACCTAAAGTTGCCCCTTGCTGCTGTTTCACCTATTTCAAAACAGCCTTCTCCTTCTCTCTCTCAAAGGAGGGGTTGGGGGAGTGTCTGTGAAGATCATTTAGGAAAGAGACCTGAAAAATCACTAGAAGAGATTTTAGATAGCAAATAGGGCCTTGGTATCATCTGTATCCATCTTCCTCCTCCCCACTTCACCCCCCCTCTCTCTTTCAAACTACCTATCAAGACTGCACTACTATTTCCTGATTAGCAGAAACTGGAAGCAGTGTATTCACCAATCAGACAAAGAAAAGGAACCCCATTAGCCATCCCGTATGATCTATTCACACCATTGCTCATGCCATTTGCCTTTGAATCTAGGAGCTATTTATACAGCAGAGTCACCTTGAATCCATTTGAGAAATATGAAGGTTCTTCTCTGCTCCTATGCTGATGAATTACATGTTCTCTGGCCAATGCTGCTGACAGGCTACTTTTAACCCAAGTATCAGGGCTTTAAATGAAGAGTCTAAATGTTCTCCCTTCCCATCGAAGGAAGGACAAAACAAACTTTTTTTTCCCTCAAGGAACAAGTGCCCTTTTTGAAGGTCACATCACTTGTACCCATCTCTTTTCCCTGGCCTGAGGTTTTACTCATTGTTCCCCCCCACCCCAGACACTTAATTGTCTCGTGTTTTCAGCAGCACAGACAATGGGAGAAATATCTCCTTTAATGCTTGAGCAACAGCAAGTTGGCAGGGAGCTGGCAATTCTATTCTTACATCCTACTCATTCCTATATGAAGCAAGGAAAAGGTTAACTCAATAAATTGCTTCTACACTCACACTCACACACACACACTTCCTATTCTTTCACATCAAAACCATTCTTTCTCTAGCTTTCTCCTCCCCCTCCCCCTAATCTCAGCAGCCTCATTAAAAGAGCTTTGTAACTGTTTTGGATTGGAGCAAACAATCCAGCCACTTTGGGAGGGCCCCTGGGACCAGAGTTAAAAACCCATGCCATCTTAGGTGTTGGGGGTTGGGAGGGAAGTCTCCTCTAGTTTTTTGTTGGTTTTTTTGCCTAAAATGCTGCATTTCCCTCCCCCCCTCCTTCCCCTGCTATGCACTCAAAGGAGAAAGAAAGTGCAATGGCCCAATGAGGAAGGGATTGCTGACATAGCCCAAAGAAGAGGGGAAACCAATCCAGAAAATGACTAGGATACACAGAAGAGGACCTGCAACACCCACTTTGTATCAGGAAGAGATATGACTGGGAGAGTTTTCCACCTTTGGCTGCGTAGTTAAAAGGAGGAAGGTGACCCACTGCCTTCCCTCAGAAACAGCAGCTGGGTGGTAAGCAGGAGCCCCAATGTGGCCTGAGCAAAAGGCTGATGGCTGTGAGATCATTAGCAGTCTGGTCACACGCTCTTGTTTCCACCCTTACTGTTTGATCTTTGCTCAGTCCGACCAGAAAGATGTCTTGAGAGAGAGCCCCAGGACTTGCTTACTGCAACAAACTTGGAATCACCCACCGATTACATCAGGTAATAATAAAAGGGGACGTAAGTATTGCCAATGTAGCAAAACAAAAAGGCAGGCAGATTTCGGTTTGGATCTTCAGTCTTTTCATCCATGGGTCTTCTCACCACTAACACATGCTTCACTCCAAGAGTAACACTTTCAGAAGTGATTAATCACTGGAGGGGGGGGACACGACACTGCACCATTATTACAGCCAACAGATGAACTGTAAGAGGAAACCAGTGCCCTGCATTTCCTTCACCTGACTTATGAGCTCACAACTTACATTAAGCTACACTGTGGTTTGTTTGGCTTTGACGGATTGCTTTTTTGAATCCAGCCATTATGGTGTGTTAACCATAATGGTTAACACACCATAATGGCACCATGGATTAAAACTTCACATAATATATCAAACAATTTAACTACGACTTTATTTAATAAGTCAGGGCTGGATATTTTATTTATTTATCAAATTTATACAGCTGCCCATTTCACCAAAAGAAACTCCGGGCAGTGAACAACAATCCAATAAAGCAGTAACATAAATAAAACAATTAGTTCCTAATAGTATTACATAATAATTAATAAAAGCATTAAAGCTATGAAATCAGTTTATATTATATATTAATAAAAGCATTAATAGTCCCTAATAACTTATATTATCAATGCCATCTCCCTTTCAGTAAAAGATTACACTTGCCTTCCACACTCCCTTAAAGGGCCATATTGCATAGAATAACTTAATTCTCGTCTCACCTATAGTTTTTTCCTTCCACATTTTCAATGTAGGTTAAGCAGTTTCAAAACTACTGGGCCCTCTCAGATTAACCCATTCACAAGTTTTTTCTCCCAAAGAACATCTCCTGTCCTGAACAGATGAATGTGGTGCTGTCACTTGCAAATGCATTTATTGTCTTCTCCCCCGAGATTCATACTTCATATACTGTATCTGCTTTGGGTTGGTAATATATAAGACTATGGCACCTAGCAATGTACCTAAGAGATTGACAGGTCTTAAGAGTTGAAGATAATCTCTCTCTTTAAATGGGGATAGGGGAATCATATATATTTCTGGTCATTCCACATATTCTCCCTCTGTGTACTTTTTTATTTTCTATTTTTACTTGTCTTCACAGTAGTTCATGCATAAATCAGTTTTCTTAATCTAGTGGCATCCAAGCACGCTGGATGAAATCTCCTATCACTGGGCAGATTGTTTAGGATGACAGAATCTGTAAAACCAGGCTGGGTAGGCTTGGTAAAACTGTGTAACCTGAGGATCATTTTCAAAAGCAAGCAAGGCCCTCTCAGATTAACCCATTCACAAGTTTTTTTCTCCCAAAGAACATCTCCTGTCCTGAACAGATGGATGTGCTGCTGTCACTTGCATGAAAGCTGGACTTAAAACCGCTTGGAACGCTGGTGACATCTAACCAGACTGATCTCAAAATGGCAGGTTATCTTACATCTGTGGCTGGGGAAAAAGTTATAACTATTTCTACACTCTTGTTTAACATGACACCACCAGGTGACTTATTGGCTAGAGATGAGAAGACTTTTGGACCAAGATTTCTGAAAAGTGGCAAAGGCCTGCACGCCTGCATTTGAAGTGAGGGTTTTAAGACTTCACTTCTCTCCCCTAAAAACCACCATGGAAAATTAACCCACATCCCCTTTCTTTCTTGTGAATCAACTACCTAACAGCAAACAGGAGCTAAACCCAAGCAAATGCCACAACCATCCTAACTTACTTAATTCCTTTAAGGAGCAAGTCAAAAGCTCCTGCTAGTGGGGTCTTCGGGTAATGGCCTTTACCGTACTTTTTATAATAAGGAAACTAATAAAGATGAGAGGAGTTTAGAAGTGAGGGGGGGCGTGGGGGGTATAGAGAAGGAACTCTTATTTATGGAAACTCAGCGGGGTCGTTCCGTCTGAAAATCAATCTGGAAGAACCACAGAATTCATTTGGCGGTCTTTGATCTCTGTTTGCTTTTGCCAGGCAGGAATTTTGAACTCCGGTCAGTAAACCTGCCTAACTAACTAAAGCAAACAAGCCAAAAACACCGCTTTTGCAATGTCAGGAGGAGCAAGGGGGGGAGGGAGGGAGAGCAGCGTGCGTGCCGCTTGCTGCTGCTACAAGAAGTCAGCCTATATGCTCCGATCAATGACGATGCAGAGACGTGCCTCCTCCGTAGGGCGTCCTTCAAAAAAAAAAAAAACCAGGTTTCCAAACTACCCAGCTCTCCAGACAGGAAGAGAAAGGAAACCTACTCGGAACGGTTCTCACTGGGCTAAGGCAACGTGCAAGAAGGGAGCCAGACCTGCCGGGGTGGGCAACAGCTTCTGGTCTACTTCTCCTTTTCTCAGCCCTGCGATCGCACGCGCAGGCCCCACGCGGGTGGTGCGGTCACAGCTTTCAAACGCCATAACGCAAAGGCTTTGCTCGCTCGCCCTCGGTTCCCCCACCCAAAAAAAGAAGGAGGTGGGTGGCCGGTCTTTTGTCGGCCGCCCCGAAGAGCGCCGAGCCGAGATAGCCGCGTTGCCCCTCACAAGGTCAACCAAGCGCGCGCAGGCTGAGCTCGGGGACAACCCGGCCGCGGGTCTGTCTGGCGCCTTGCGGACCCGCTCTCTCCTTCGACGCGTGTGGGCTCCTTTTGGGCCCCGCGATCCCCTGGCGCCCGTCACGCACGTTCAAGCGTAACATGCGGCGAACAGGCCATGCGGAGGAAGAGGAGGAGGAAGGCTTCCCCGCCGCCCCAGATCCTCCCGCCCGCCCCCTTTTCTTTTTCTCTTTTTACCTTGGCGTTGTGGAAATAAAGCAGCGCCGCCAACCCCCAATGGATCCAAGTGAGCAGAAAGTTCATGATTCCAGGAGCGAGGGGAGGATCGGCTCGGTCGAGTTGTCTAAGCCCTTCTCCTTTGCTCGGCGGTCGCTCTGATCAAGCTGAGGGGTTGAAGGGGGGGAGGGGGGTAGAATTTAGACTCTGGTTTCACCCGTCCATAAGCTCCGCTCTCCCGAGGCCCCAGAGACGCAGTTTGCCCTCGCTTTTGCCGCGCGCTCGCTTGCTCAAGGTCTTCGGCTCGGCTTGGTTCCGATCCGCCGGTTCCGCTTCTCCCGAACAATTCCCTCCCAGCAGCACGGCGAATAGTAACCGATTTTCCTCTTCCCCTCTCTTCCACGCACACTCTATCCCTCGGTGGCAAAAGCACCTCACGCGAGCGGCTCGCTCTCACCACCAACACAAGCACCGGGGAGGAGGAGAAAAGAAAAAAGGAAAAAAAGAAACCGAGACGAAGAAGAAAAGTTTGCCAAAACTTTTAGTGCATTTTTCCCCCCGTTTCCAAGGTCTCGGATCTTACAGCTGCTATGGCTCGCTGCTTCCCAGCTGAAGTTGGATGGTTTGGGCTTGTTTGAACAGCAAGCTTTTTAGGAAGAACTCTTCATTCAGCCCGGTTCGATTTGGGCCCTTTCTTCTTGGCTTTAAAAAAAAACAACCGGGGGAAAATTCTTCACACACCCCTTTTTTTTTCCCTTCACCAAAGAGGGCAAAATCCAAGTTCTTTAAGCGACGAGATTTCTCGGCAGATGAAGGGAAAGGGGAATAAATAAAGGGCGAATAAAGAATGAATCGCAGATCCTTAGAGAGCAAGGAAGACGGAAGGGAGAGAAGGAAGAACTCTGGATCTCGCTTCCCTGCCCGATCTCGCTTGCTTTTTTTTTTTTAAACCGAGAGAGCGTCTTCACTTTTATGTCAATGAACGTCTCCGGTCTCGCTCGCTCGCTCGCTCTCGCGCTCTCTCTCTCCCCCGAATGTTAGGCGGAGTAGTAGAAGTCCAGCCTGCTCCGGGTAGCGCTGTCTCTCGTTCTCTTAAGCTATGGCACTCACAGCTTTTCAGGGTTCGTAGTCCCTCCTCCGCCTCCTCCCTCCCTCCCTCGTCACTCCTCCTACCTATAACTCTCAATTAAAACATGCCCCCACACCCCACCCCCGCCACACACAGAAGGTTCCGTAGGTTTATCGTGGTGAGAATAAGACCGGAACGTATTTTCGTCTCTATCCTCTCTTCCTCCGGAGAAACGAATGGGCAGCAAATTGAGGGGGTGGGGGGAGGATCTTTGGGGTGGTGTATTCCCTTTGAACCGTCTTTGAGCCTGACCATATAATTTCAGTGCAGAAATCTGTAAAAATGGATCGGATCGATCACAGATGGCTTCCTGACACGACTAAGAGTCGAGCACTCCCCCCCCTCCCACCCCAATTAATGATACTTACTCTACAAAAACGAGTAATGGAGAAGGAAAGGGAATGGAAGTTAATTACTTTTAGATACCTGGGGTTTTTTTTTCCTGAAAAACTCCCAAATGTTATCCCTATAAAATATCCCCTATCCTTACAGACGCCTGAAACGGGTTGATTGAGAGTGGCTAGCCCAAACTTATCCTGAGGTCCAAAGCAAACTTGAACTTGGTTATCCCAGTCCAAGACTAGCATTTCGACAACCACACCACACTGAATTCTGATGGGCCTTCCCGGTGTTTCTTTTTTCTGATTTTACAACTGAATGGGGGGGGCTTCACCCCTCCCTCACTTTTGGCATCAGAAAAGACCTAAATGGCTCAAGGGAGCTGAGTAGGACTATGTTGTTGCATCATCACAAAGATCACCTTAATTCTGAGAAGGACACAAATAAAACTCTTATTCTAATTTGTGGATACAAATAAATCTCCTTATATATTTTGGGCAAATGTGACAATCACCATTTCCACTCTCCCCCCCCCCCTTACTAGATTCTCCTTTGGTCACCTTTGGTTTTGCAAAGCCATAAGCAATTTTTCAGTCCTGGGGAAAATGATTTTATTCTGTTTGCCAAAATTGTTATTTTATATTCTGCAAATAAATAACTTTCACATGTTCCAGCTTCATCCAAAGAAAATTAGTACTTGGGGAAAATGGGGAGGGGAGGGGGCAAGATTGCTGGTGTATGTGAGGAAAATATCATTAGAAAGCAGTCTGCATTTGACCATGGAAGGAAAAAAAAAAGGACAGAGCTCTCTTACTATGGTTGTAGCACAACCTGGTGGTAGCAATTTGAAATTTGAGAAAGTATCCAGTTCTTCCTCAGCAGGTAGGACAAAGTGGAGGGAAAGGAACTATGCTAATCCCCCCCCCCACTGCTCCAGTCAAGAAGAATTTCCATGTAAGAAAAAAAAAAGTGCAATTCACATGCAGTTGGCAGTACGAACATCCACCTATGTCACGGCACTAAAATGCCATCGCACAAGCCCCAGGATCTTATACAGCACGGGTGTCAAACTCACCGCGTCACATTGCTATCACGTAATGTGACATTTTTTCCCTTTGCGGAGCTGGGGTGAGCGTCGCCTACACATGACGCACCCAGGCCGCGGGCCACCAGTTTGACACCCCTGTGTAGAGCCACCCAATCATTATCCTGCAGACATAGAAGAAGACTAGGAACAGGGTTATATTGCTAGCTGCTTGTAGTGAGTGATGCTACAAAGTTATTGGGAACACTCCTGATCTATATTAGGTTTGGAAAATAACCGATTAATTGATGACTTAACAGCTGCTATAATGCTTCATGTATGTCATTCCCACCCTTCCATGACAAGAACGTATAATTTGCTGGCAGTCTGGATGGAGATCAAGCATCTGCATTCAAGGTCTACCTGTGGCTTCCAGTTGGACATCTTAGCTAGGTATTTTATAGTTTTATTTGCCTACCTGTGGATTCCCTTGGTCATCTCCTGGCTTGTTACCCTGGTAGTGTTAAGTGATGCATGATGAAAGGGAGGCTCTTCACCACCACTCTGGCATGCCTGGTATAACAGTTGCAAACCAACACTGGTCAGATGCCAAGTGGAAAGCTTGCATCTTTCTTGGAATCTATGTCTGTCTCTCCCTTAGCTCAGCTGGACTTGACTTTTTTTCTTCAACATAGTTTAGCATCTCAAGCAGAAAGGATTCCTGTTTCCCATGCAAGGGCGTTTGCCTTGTATTTGAGACAAATATGGTGTAGTGTTAGGTGTCAAACAAGAGAGTGTGACTTGTTATGAGCACAATTAATAGGCACATTCCTTTGTTATGTAAATGGAAGCTGAGGGCAGCCAGAACTGCCTCAAGCATGGAGTGAAGAGAAACACTTTAAATGCAGGGCTTGTGCTATGCCACCTGTAATCCCTTTATAAAAAAAAAATTAAAAGAACGGGAATTTCACAAACTAGCCCAGTCTTATAAGATCTGTCTTGTCATATAAACTCTTGTGTCCTTTTAAGTGTTCTCAAAGTTTTGTCGATGTTTTTCATTTGATTTTCTTTTAATCCTTTCAACAACAACAAAAAGAGCGTTCCCAAAGTTACCTATCCATGACCTGAAAAAAGGACACTGGCACTTTATATAACTATAAACTCCCTTCTGTTATTCTCTGATGTTGCTGTTCACATTTCAGGTAAACCTGCAGTTCACATCAGCAGAAACGTCCCTTGAAGTATAAACCGCAACTTCGGAAGAAACATCCACCTGAATTGAAGTAGAAAGGGGACAAATGTAATTTCTTCCTCCCACCCCCACTGTCACTGTGCTAAGGAATTCTAGCTCATTTGCTATGCAGCCCTGCTGTTAACACGGCCTTCCCATACTCTGGCTTCCAGATGTGTCAGCTTTCAGCTTCTATATTTCTAGCAAACCTTCTCCCTACTACTGACTTTGAAGTGCCATCTAGGCATTCTTGAGACAAAACAAAACTATTCCAGTTTTGTTTGCTATAGCCGCTGCTGGGCTGTACCCTGTCCCTATTGGCTTTAAGTAAGTTTCTTGAGTTCTTTCCAAGGCAACAAAGCCTAGTAGACTTTGTACATCTTGAAGAAGACAGTTTTATAATAAATGGGGGGGGGATTCAACTTTTAACACCCAAGGATGACTTAAGCCAGTGTCAATAATAAGTTGCAGGTGAGATGAAGGTAATGTTATGGAACTACAGCAGAAAGAAGGTTGTTGCCAGGGCACGTTGCTACGCTTAAGTACAAGCGATGAAAGGTCTTTGGTAGCATTTAGTTTAACTTCCATACACGTTGTAAACAGTGGCTGTTCCTTTTCAACATTGCTTTGCCAACACTCCCTCTGGTGTGATAGAAGTAGAAATACACTCAGCAATTCTTACCTTTACAGGCAGCATCAAGTGAGAGGCTTTAGATGTAATCCTATGGAAAATTCGGAATGAAGCCCACTGAATTTGATGTGTTTAACTTTTGAATAAATATGCAGAGGACTGAAGACATAACACCAACGTTAGGTGTGAAATTTACACATCATGTTGCCTGTCTTTGCACACCATCTTATGCATTGCTAAGATTACTATTCTGCCTAATATTTTTTTAGTAGCCATCCTGTTCAGGCATTCTAGAAATTAGCCAAGCTCGTTTTTAAATTGAAAATGCACTTGTGCTTTTAGCGTTTAGTATGTAGGACAGAAGTGAAGTATTATTTAAATATTATGTTTGACAATAGCTTTGGGTTTGCTGCTTCTTACACCAGAGGATAGCAGCTACTTTTAATTCCTTAAGGGTGGAGGGAGGATTAATCAGCACCAGTGCTTTGTGGAGGTCCTGAAATAGAAGTTACAAATCAGGGGGGCTGGGAAGGAGCTTGTGAAATTTCTTTACACAAGTGCCCTCTCCATATTCTGGACTACAAATCCTATCATCTCTACCCAGCCTAGACTAGAAAATGTGCTATGCCAGGCAAGGCAGCATTGCTTTTCCCCAAATGTACTTAAAATATTCCTCTTCAATTTTCCACCAGTTTTTATTTTTTAATGACTGGAAAAAATATCTATTTTTTTTTCAGCCATCAACTCATAAAAGCCCAGCTTCATCTTTATTAATATTCAGGAAGCACAAAGTAAAATAAGTTTTAAGGGCAAATAAATCTTGAGATAGTTAAAAGGATTCAAAACTGAGAGCCTCTTGTTACTCCATATAAGTTGCAGGCTTTATTCCTCACAGCACTGACAGCCAGTGAGTTAATAGTTGATAAGGTATGCATTAAATTTGAACTCCTAATCCTGAGCTTAATCAGACAGATTTAGAATTGTCTATTGTGGAAAAAAAATCCTACAAATCTCACTGAAATAAACTGGATATCCCTGGCCAAGTGACTCAGAGTGTCATACATATTTAAAAATGATTCCATTTCCCTTTAATTCTGTATTTAACTCTTGGAAACAGAGTCACAGGAACCTCTCCAGACCATGTCTAGTAGCTCCAATATAGCTCAAACCTGGAATTGAATTAGTAGTTATTACCTTAACCCAGAAGTTCCCTTTTTCAGAACAGTCATTTCTTACACAAAATCACAGGGATGTAAATGGAATGTATCAAAGATACAGTATTTTTTAATTTTTACTGGGTTTTTTTTTTAAGGCCGACAAGAATCCAAACAAGACCAGGGTTAGAATGTGCTGTGTCCTTTTGACCTCAATATTTTGTAACCCAAATCTGCTAGATCTAGGAGTGTGAGGGCCTACAGTAACAGAAGTAGTAGCTGCAGGACTCAAACATTTTTGGAATAGCATCGCTTGTGATATGCTTGAACCATGTCTGATGGCATCTGCTGAACCCACCTATCCCAGGCTCATATGAAGCTCCATGAGGCTCCCACAACTTGATTCAAACCCTTCTTCTCTGTCTCTCAACTAATAGCAGCATACAAACTGGACAGCACACATTCCAGGCCCGTGATAGCGAAGCTATGGAACATGTGCCACAGGTGGCGCACACAGCCCTCTCCGCGGGCACGCGAGCTGTCACCCCACATGTT